AAGAGAAGGAGGAGGAGGAGAGAGAGAGCGTGAGGAGAGAGAAAGGGAGGAGACAAAGAGCGTGAGGAGAGAGAAAAGGGAAGAGAGAGGCGGATTGTGAATGAGGGGGGTTGGGGCGCCGTTTTAGTATTAGGGTTTTGGGGTTTTTTCCTTTTTTTTAATAAAAAATTAAATTCCGTCGAAAACGGGTTATAATCCGTCGCAAATTTCCGACGGAATTAAATTCCGTCGTAAATTTACGACGGAAATAAATTCCGTCGGAAATTATACCATTTACGACGGAATTTTCCGTCGTAAATTTACGACGGAATTTAATTCCGTCGGAAATTTCGTACTTTCCGACGGATTTTCTTGCCCGTTGGAACGGTTCCGTCGGAATTAAGCTGTTTTCTAGTAGTGGCAATTTGTATGGTAAGGGTGAGGAACAACAGGCTCGTTTTAACACTTTTTGGGCTAAGGTTGAGGCTGCTAGGGATTCTAGCCTGCTTGAACTTGGAGGTTCCTCTCTGCCCTGACATTGCGGCAGCTATTGGGGTGGAGTCCTTGGCTGGTGGACAATAAAGGTTATAGCGGTTGTCACCTTCCTACTCTAGTGGTTGCTCTGTGTTTAGTTCAAATACCCCCTTCTGACTAGGTCTTCTATGCTGTCTTTCAGGTGTGTGGATTCATCAGTTGGGTGGCCGTGGTCACTATGGAAGTCACACCATTTGCTGGGATCACGGTTCCTATTAATCATCCTTGGAGGTCTCTGCCACTTTTTATCAGCTTTGTTCACGCTGAAAATGTGGGATCTCGAGTGAGTGAGCGGGGTATACTGGTCGAACCTTCCAGGTCTTCCTCCCGTCTTCGGGTCTACCTTTCTCACCCCAACAGCTTGATCTGCCTCCCTGCGACCTTGCTCAGCTTTGCTGGGCTGGTCAGCCCTGGCTATGTTTCTGCCCGGGTGACTTCTGCCCGCTTAACTAGGTCGTTTGGCGCCTTCCTACTTAGCATTGCTCTATCGGTCTCGTCTGCCTTAATGAACTTGTGCGCTTTACTTAGCGCTTCAGCTAGCGTCTTGAGGCTCTTATGCCCCATATACGCTCTGAATGGTTAGCCTGTTAGCAAACCGCTCTGCATTGCCAGCAACGCTACCTCCTAGCTCATGTTTGGGATGGTTGTTTCCTCTTTGTTGAATTTGGTGATAAACTCCCTCAGGGGCTCATCTTTCCCCTGAACTAGTGACATCAACTCAGTTGTCATCTTAGTTCGATCTACCAAGGTGATAAATGCTTTATAAACATTGTTTTCAGCTGATTATACGAGTACACAAAACCCTTAGGAATGGCTCCATGCCACTCCGCTACCATCCCCTCCAGAGTTGGCAGGAATGTTTTGCACCAGACTGAGTTCGTCATGGTGTAGAGGACCATGTGGTTCTCAAAAGCCGAGATATGATTCTTAGGTGTTGTGGTTCCGTTGTACCTGTAGTGCGACACCTTTATCTTCTCCATCGGCTCCTCCAAAATCTCCCTGCAAAATGGGGAATCATCTGGAATAAGTTGGATCCGTGCTCGCTTCTCCCTGTCCAGGCTCGGTCCCTGCTCGGAGGCTGGTGACCTGCTGCGGACGACTCGTTTCTCCGGGCTGCTCTTAGCTTGGATTATCTCCTCCACGCTCCATTCTCGGTTCAGATTCCGAGCTTCCAATTCCAACACCTTCTTCCTCAGCTGGATGAGCTCCTTCTGCTTAGAAGTGAGGGTTGGGGGTGTTGCCTTCTTCACCACTGTTCCGTAGTTGTTGCTACTGGTGATGAGCTCGCTCCCTTACTAAATTTGGCATGGACTCTGCCAACTGGTCCTTACTGCACAGAGAGAGGTTCTGCAGAATGGATGGCATGTTTACGGGTTACGGTTTCTGGATTATGGGTGTGGAAATAATGGGTTCATTGTTTGCGCCTCTCAATGGCTTTCCGTACTTGAAAACAGAACTAGATCCTATCGGATCGACTTTTTTCGACGCGGCTTTAGCTGTAGTAGATGTCGATCCAATGAGATTGGATTTTTGTGAGATGGTGGATTTGGGTTTCTCGACAGATACTTTAGGATCGATGTGTACTAGTGGTGTTTTTTGTGGTGTTTGATTGGAGTCATTGGCCTTAGGTATGCGTGCTTGTACAACTTCCTCTCCAGCCATAGAGGTTTATCAACTAGTCCCTCACTCAGTTGGTGAACCTCAGGTTAGATGATCCTTCCCCTCCTTGTAGCGTCAATTGTTCCAGGTATGGATCCAAGGGTTCTGCTGGGTGAGCTGGGTCCCGTTGACAACCTACACAAGACAACACACATAAACTGCCCTCGGGGGGTGGCTTGAGGAACCCCCCTCCGATGCCTAAGTTAGAGACTGTTTAGAGAGAGAAAGTGTACTTAGAGAGATGCAGAGTGTGTAATAACTTGTGTGTCTAAATCTTTTCCGTTGTACTTTGCCCTCTATTTATAGGTGTACGATCTCTTTTGTGGAGAGTTTAGCCTGGTCAGCTATGTCGGCTGACTATACCGGGCTAGTGAGCCCCTCTTAGTTGTCCTCTTGGCAATGAGTGCGCACCCTGGGGGCTGGGCGATAGTGTAGCGGGAGTTATCCTATACAAAATTGTACCGCACATTATTCACAGAACCTAAAGTTGCTTTATCATAAATCCAGGAGAAAGCTAAATCACTTACAATCACCTAAAAAGTATATGTATATGTTATGTTCTTTATTTTACCTCAAATACAGAGGTTGTGTCCTTATTATAACAATTGAAACTTGACACTTACAATTCACTTTTGTAAGAACATAGAAAAGCTTCTTAAAAAAAACCAAGTTTATAAACAAATTTTATATATATGTATAGATCAATATTCACCCTAAAATCTAATTCTCAAATGTTATAATTCCAAAATCTGACATGGATGTTCTAAGAATATCATTTAACTCACAAAATCCACAAGATCTTATCATATTTGTGTATAATTTTGACATATACCATATATCTATTGAGAATAAAAATACTTACAAAATTACAAGTATCTAATTTTAGTTACCGACATGATTTCACTCAAAGTAAAATTGTCTCAAACTAATTTTTATTCTAAAGTCCAATTTAACAAATACTTTGCAATCAAACAAAAACAAAATTGCTCATGCTAGAAGGCTTGATTAAGCATGACATAAATTTTAAAAAGTAGCTAAAAGAATTCAGCATATTTTAACTACGTTGCTGCGACTGCCTCCTGCCTGCAAATGGCAGCTAGCTGCATCATGTGGCTAGCGGCTAGCTGTTGCCACCTAGTGGCTGCTGGATGCTAGCCGCTGCCTGCTGGCTGCTGCCTGCTAGCTGGCTGCCCAACTGCTGCTAACGGATGACAGTGCTAAGTGTGGGACAATTCTAAGTGCTGCCTGTTGGTAACGGCTAACTGCTACAGATTTGAGACATGCTGACAGTGCTAAGTGTGGGACATTGGTAATATTTAAGGTGTGATAATTGTGATGTTTAGAACTCTAAAGACACTGAAATCTAGAGCCATTGGCAGAACTAAAATGTTGATAGAAATGTGTGCATCAACTTTAGGATTGTTAGCTAGTAGTTATAATCCATTTTGATAAACTAATCAATTCTGAAAATTAGAAAAATCCATAGAGAGTAAAGCAAAAGGACAAAGTGCTACATGAAGAAGATGAATGAGAAGTTGCAAAGGAACAAAAATAAGAAAGTAGGGATGAGCTTTACCTTACAATGCTTCTTTTTAAATGTTATGCTAAAATTTTCCACCTCTGAATCCTTATACAGGTGGTCAGGTTACAGGTTGGCAGCGTACAGGTGAAGGTAATAGCGAAGCTGGTACCCAGAAACCAAAATAAGTTGAGCAAAGATGCAAACAATATTCCCCAGAATCTTCGAGTCAAACCTCTATCCGTGGAAATAGGAGCCACCTTCTACAATCTGGCCGTTGAAGAAGACTGGTTCAAACCAGTAAACTCTTGACCAGGACGTGCAGAGAAAAAGGAGGAACAACTTTGGCCCCCAATCCCGAAATCAAAGGAGTTGAGGGAAAGGCCGTTAAAGATCTTGGGGAGGCTTTCGGGGTATAAAAAGAAAGGAAGCGACCATGGCAAAGGGGCATCATAAAAATATATCAGAATATAGCCATAGAATATAATCAGAGAATCATCCCCGTTTTGCTATTAAATTGCAACCTATATTGTAACCTGTAAAAATATATTATCTAGTGGATTGGTGGACTCATAGCCACTCGCAGTTTTTACCCTTATTCTTGGGGTTTTCTGCGTCATCATCTCTGTGTCTACCTCCCCCTTTTTTCCTCTGCTTCATTCACGTAGACTTTCATTGAGGAAATCTCGTACTTTAATCTAGCTGTAGTTGACGCAACCTAGGTCGAACCTGGTAATCAGTTTTTTGACCAAAACAGTTTAGCGCCGTCTGTGGGGATACAGTTAGATAAACTGGTTCACCCTTCACCATGGGAGAAGACCCGGACCCGAATGCAAACGCATTAATTGAGCAATTGCGTGAAGAGTTAAAAGCCTCCATCGAGCGCAGCCGGAAGCTTGAAGAAGAATCCCAAGCAACCTTGGCAAGGCTCAAAGCTGAATCTGAAGCATCCTTGGAGAAGATGTCCAAAGAGCTCGAATCTGTCAAGAGCAATAAAAAGAAGAGGGTTCAAATTGATGATATACCCCAATTCACCCTAGTATCATCTGACGAATCTGAAGGAGAAAACGAGAGAGAAAAACCTCGTGGTAACGAGGATCAGAATGGTGGAGATCCTTGCCTTATGGCCAGAGAAGTTGCTGTTATCAAAGCTTAAAATCGGAAGATGATGAAGCTCCTGACTCGGCTACCGGGTACTCCCAAACCTGTAGCATATGAATCTCGTGATGGATTCGCTTAATCCCCCTTTGTGGAGGAAATAACTAAAGTACGCATCCCCACAAAACTAAGCATTCCCTCCTTTTCAAAGATGTACGATGGAACCACTGATCCTCAAGATCATGTGGCCCAGTACAAGCAAAAAATGTGGCAATTATTAATACCGTGGGAACTGATTGAACCCACCATGTGTAAGTCCTTTGGCGCTACCTTATCAGGGCCCGCACTCCAATGGCTTATTAATCTAAAGCAAGGTACCATCGCCAGCTTCTCCAGCCTGGTGAATAAATACTATCAGCAATTCGCCACCAGCCGAGAGCTAAATAAGCAGAGCAGTGACCTGTATCGGGTCGTTCAGAAGCAAAACGAGATAACCCGACAATACTGGGACAAGTTCAATCGGGAAATGGTCAGCATAAAAAATTGTGACCACTCAACTGCTATTGAAGCTTTTTGCAAGGGTCTCAACTACAGATCCAGGTTATATTATGAGCTGACAAGATACCCATGCTCTTCATTCGAAAAAGTCAGAACCAGGGCGATGGCTGAAGTCCGAGGGGAAGAGGACGAGCATGACAGAAGTTGGGTCGAAAGGAGACCATCTAGGAATTCAGGGAATCAATCTTTCAACAATCAGAGCTCCAGAAACAGGCAGGGTAACTGGCAATCAAGGCGCAACAATGTCAACAGCGTATCTGAACCTGGAGCAAGCGAAGGTCCCAGCAGGCCAGCAATAGAGTACTATCCAAATGTCATCTTGTATGGTTTTGATACCGATGCAGTAAGGATAGTGAACGCCCTCAAGGATATCGGGCCACCTGTAAGATGGCCCAGAAAGAGTGACAAGCCTGAGCACCAGAAGGATAAGTCAAAATTGTGCGATTACCATGGAGATCATGGGCACATGACTGACGAATGTAACAGTCTTAAGAGAGAAGTAGCCTGGCTACTTAAGAAAGGTTACCTGAAATATCTCCTCGGGAAGAAAGGAAAGAGACCTGAAATAAAGCAAGAGGTCCTATCAGGACCGCCATCTTCGCCAACCCCAAGCATCGTGATTCAAGCCATATCAGGTGGATCCAGCATTAGCGGTTTAACCTACTCCAGTGCAAAGCGTATATCAAGAGTTGGTACCTCAGCATCCAGCATCCCCCAAACCTACCCAAGTAATGAAGAAAAGAAGCTGGATGATATGGTAGTGGTATTCGATGAGAGCAGGTTCAACGAGCCCGAGCATCATGACTGCTTGGTGATCTCCCTCCATGTGGGCCACTACAAGATGAAGAGAGTACTGGTGGATAATGGAAGCTCGACCAATATAATTTTTAAAGATGCCCTAGACCAAGCCGGATTCAAAGAATCAGATATCATCAAAAAATCCACAGTTCTAGTAGGGTTCAATGGCGAACCTATGAATTCCTTAGGAGAAATCCAGCTCCCGACGCTGCTTAAAGGGGTTAATATGATGCAGAAATTCTACGTGATAGATTGTAAGACTGCTTACAATGTGATAGTAGGAACACCATGGATCCATAAAATGAAAGCCATTCCATCAACCTATCACCAGCTGCTCAAATTCCTAAGCCCATGGGGAGTGGCAGTAGTCGAAGAAGATAAGAAGCAAGCGCGAGAATGCTACCAGCTCGCCCTAAAACCCCATGGCCCCGCCATCTAGCAATTACAGCAAAATCCAGCACCCAAGCGTCCAGATGAGTTACAGTTAGATGAAGTTCTGCTGGATGAATCAAAGCCAGAGCAGAAAGTCAAAATTAGAGCTGCATTAACATTAGAGCAGAAAGATGCTATCATTAAGTGCCTCAAAGAAAATTCAGATTGCTTAGCATGGTCACACCAAGATATGAAAGGAATCAACCTTGAAATAATTACACGCAAGCTAAACATGGATCCCAATGCAAGACCAGTGAAGCAGAAGAGAAGAAAATTCGCCCCAGAGCGCAACCAGATCATTAACGACGAAGTCCAGAAGCTGCTAGATGTCGGGAAGATAAGGTAGGTCAAATATCCAGATTGGCTAGCTAATGTGGTTGTTGTCAGCAAGAAGAATGGAACCTGGAGGGTTTGCATCGACTTCACAGATTTAAATAAAGCATGCCCGAAAGATCCGTTTCCTCTCCCCCATATAGATTCAATGGTAGATGCAACAGCTGGCCATGAGCTCCTCAGATTCATGGACGCATATTCCGGCTACAACCAGATACTGATGCACCCGGAGGACCAAGAGAAGACATCTTTCATGACGGATAAAGGAATATACTGCTACATAGTGATGTCGTTCAGTCTGAAGAACGCAGGTTCAACCTATCAAAGGCTAGTTAACAGAATGTTTAAAGACCAGCTGGGGGACACCATGGAAGTCTACATCGATGATATGCTAGTCAAGTCCAAGCAAGCAGTTGATCATGTGAGCCATCTGGAAGAAGCTTTCAGCATCCTCCAGAAGTACAAGTTGAAGCTGAACCCATCCAAATGCTCGTTCGGAGTAGCTGCAGGTAAGTTTCTGGGCTACATAGTCACTCAGCGAGGAATCGAAGCTAGCCCAGACCAGGTACGTGCTGTAATTGATATTCAATCACCTAGAAACCTAAAAGAGGTACAAAAGTTAACAGGTAGAGTAGCTGCATTAAATAGGTTTATCTCGAGATCATCAGATAAATGTCACTTATTTTATAACGTCCTTAAGAAAAATAAAGGTTTTATTTGGTTTGATGATCACGAGAAGGCCCTACAGGACCTCAAATACTATTTAATGACGCCACCATTATTGTCTAAACCTGCTGATGGAGAGTCTTTGCAGCTTTACCTCGCAGTCATCACCCAAGCTATCAGTGCTGTCCTAGCAAGGGAAGCTGAAAGCCAGCAATTACTTGTTTATTATGTTAGTAAAACTCTCCTCAGTGCTGAAACCAGGTACTCCTCTCTTGAAAAGCTGGTATTAGCACTAATTGTAGCTAGTAGGAAACTTCGCCACTATTTTGAAACTCACCCCATAGTGGTGAAAACTAACTATCCTGTGAAGGCTGTTTTGTGCAGACCAGAGTTAACAGGTCAAATGAGCAAGTGGGCAATCGAGCTTAGTGGATTCAGCATCACGTACGAACCAAGAACAGCCATCAAATCACAAGCACTAGCTTACTTTGTGGCTGACTTCAGCCCTGATCTCGAACAACAGGCAGCCTTAGAATCTGAGCAAATCAACCATGTTCTAAACCCAGGTATCTGGACACTTTACGTTGATGGTTCTTCTAACTTTCAGGGTGCAGGTCTTGGCGTAGTGCTGAAGTCGCCACAGGGGGACATGATGGTACAAGCTATCTGCTGTAATTTCAAAGCTAATAACAATGAAGCAGAATATGAAGCTTTGATTGCAGGTATGAATCTTGCGAAGGACCTAGGTGTCACCAACCTGCAAGTGTTCTGCGACTCCCTCTTGGTAGCAAGCGAGATGAACGGTGAATTCACAGCTAAAGACTCCAAAATGGTTTTGTACCTAGACTTCGCTAAATCCTTAGCAGCCAAGTTCCCAACTTTCACCATAAAGCAAATACCTAGGGATAGAAACACGCAATCAGATGCTCTGGCCAACCTGGGATCAGCCTTAGGAAAGTCCAAATTCTCTTCCATCCCTGTCATCCATTTGCTAGCTCCTACCGTGGATACAGCCAGCCCACCACCTAAACCTATCATTCCAGAACCTGTAAAACCAGACCCAGATAACCTGGAAACATCCACTCCTGCTCAAAGCCAAACCATTAAGAGTGAGCCTGAGTAACCCAACTTTATTGCACCTGTTACCAACCCAACCAGTTGGATGCAGCCCATATTCGATTATCTGGAGCACGACATACAACCAGAACATAAAGCAGAAGCAAGGGAACTAAGGTTTAAAGCCAGCAGATACACGGTTATACAGGGTGTTCTATTCAAAAAACCTACTAGAGACATCTTACAACGCTGCATAAAAGAAGATTGCTACGAGAAAATCCTTAAAGATTTCCACGACGGGGAATGTGGAGCCCATTCAGCTGGACGGACTCTAGCTAACAGAATACTTACGTATGGATACTATTGGCCAACCCTGCGAGAAGATGCTCACAGGTATGTACGCAAGTGCGATAGCTGTCAACGACATTCAGGTATCACCCATAAACCCTCTATGCCTTTGCATCCTACTCTAACACCCTGGCCTTTCATGAGGTGGGGCATGGACATAGTAGGTAAGTTACCTGCTGCACCAGGCCAAAAAGTCTATATGTTAGCTCTAACAGATTATTTCTCAAAGTGGATTGAAGCAGATGCGTTCCAGCAGGTTAGAGATAAAGAAGTTATCAATTTTATCTAGACTAACATAATCTGCAGGTTCGGAGTGCCATCTGAAATAGTATGTGATAACGGATCCCAATTCATAAGTGCCCCAACCAGGAATTTTTGCGATAAATGGAACATCACGTTGGTGACCTCGACGCCCAGATACCCTCAAGCAAACGGACAGGCTGAATCCAACAACAAAGTCATCATTGGGTCCTTGAAAAAGAAGCTGAAAGATAAGAAAGGTAAATGGGAAGAAGAACTACCGAGGATCCTTTAGGCCAACAGGACCACACCTAGAACCGCTACAGGTCACACGCCTTTCTCGTTAGTATATGGATGTGAAGCTGTATTACCCACGGAAATCACCACCCCAACAGCCAGGTATGGCCTTATGACACCAGAACTTAACAGCAAAGAGTTGTCACACGACCTAGATACTGTGGAGGAACGAAGAGACCTAGCATACATAAGAATGGCCACCTATCAGCAAATGGTAGCTAGAAGCTTCAACAAGAATGTTAAAGCTAGGATGTTCAAAGTAGGAGATTGGGTCCTAAGGAAAGTCTTTCAGAATACCCAAGAGCTCAACGCAGGTAAGCTGGGGGAACCTGGGAAGGCCCATATCAAATCGTAGAGGTTATCGGCAAAGGGGCCTACAGGTTAGCTGCAGCAAATGGTAAGCTAGTACCCAGAAGCTGGAACGCAGCACATCTGAAACTTTATCACTTCTAGAGTTGTTGTTAAAAAAAAAAAAAAAAAAAAAAAAAAAAAAAAAAAAAAAAAAAATAGCACTTGTGTACATTTCTTAGCTCCTAAAATGATCAGTACTAACTTAAGCATCGGAGGGCCGTTGGCGGCAACACCAACGGTCAGCTCTAACCTATTGTTGTGTAGAACCAAAGAGATGCAAGCAGGTAACTAAAAGTAATCTGAGAAATACCCAGGCAACACAGAAACCAAGAGCACGAGTACAATGAACAAAGCAACTATGGGCCTAAGTGCCAGACACCGCGTATTCACAAAGACCAAGCAAGTACCAAGCGTTTACCGCAAGACAAAGAAATCTAAAGGTATTAAATGATCACTAAAAAGAAATTCATATGCAATGTTCAAATAGTAGAAATTTCAAACCCTCGCTCCCACGAACAAGGTAAAATAAAAGCTAGAAAAGGCAAAACGTTACTCTAACAACCGATATCAAAAGACTAAAGAGAATAGATAAAAACATCATAGATCAAGCATCAGGTGGCTGCACATCTTCCTCAACCCTCCTAGGTGGAGCCTCAAGCTGGTGACCTGGAGAAGACTCGGCAATAGACTTTGTGGCCTTAGGTTCTATAGGGTCAGCTTCGCCCGACGCCAAATCCCTGATATAGCCAACTGTCAGATAGTCATCGACAAGCTGGCGAAGCCTCTTCAAACCTTCATCCCCTTCAAATTTCCTCAGCAAAAAGCTATTTGCCATATAAGCCTTGATCCTTATAGTAACCTCAGCCTCAATATTCTTGTTCTCGTCTTCCAGATCAACCAACTTCTTATAGAGATCTGCCGCTTCCTTAACCTTCTGGCTCAGCTCCTCAGCCTTAGCTTGTAAAGCTTCTTCTTTCTTCTTCATCTCCTCCTCAAAACGCTTCTGCTTACTCTGCAGCTGCAGATTAGCGTCCTCCACCTTCTTCTTAGCCGCTTCAACCTGAAGCTGCAGCACCTTCCTAGCTTTGTCAGACTCTAGCAACTTCTTCTCCAAACCATCAAGCTGGGACTTAGAATACAAAATATTCTGAAAACCCTGTTACACCAACCAAGCACTTAGTCAACAGCTACCCATTTAGAAACTGATTAGGCAGTGCCAGAACCATACCTGAGTTGGGCCCCATCTGCTAGAGCCAGAGAACCACCTAAACTTGCCAAACGCTTAGCAGCTGCTGGGAACGGGAGCTTATGAGCCTCTTGCCATATCCCATTACTCGTACCTTCCCCAGCTAGAAAGTCAGGAGGGAAGCTAACATCGTGGGTATCCGGGATAACCACAGCATCAACAGGAACGCTAGACCTAGTGCGAGGAACCCTAACCTCCTCCCTGTTGGAAAGAGTCATAGAAGGACTATTTTAAGCTCGATGAGTACTAGTATCAACTGAACCACCTGCCGAGCCGTCACCCCTCTTCCTTTTGAGACGTTGTAGTGCCTCTTCCCGAGACATGATAACACTCTTCCCTGATACCACCAAACAAACGCCACCTCATAAACACAGTACGCCAAAAACTAGATTCCAAACAGACTAGTAAACACAAAAGTTATACCTGAAGACATAGTAGCACTAGCAGTGGTAGCAGAAGGAGTAGGAAGA